TTGGTCCGGCGGGTTAGCGGGCTTGGCGGGACGGGCTTAGCGGGTTGGCAGGTTGAAATGCTTGGCCCAGCCCACCAATTGTTGGCGGGCCAACGGGCCGGCCCGCGGGCCATGGCCCACTTTGCCATCTCTAAAAAATAATTAAATAGAAAGAGAGAAAGTTGATTTTTTTTTACTCTATGAGAGAAGTTTAATTTAAGAGATGTTAAGGGTAATTTTGAAAAAATACTTTAAATTATTGAAAAATTTAATATTATTAACTAATTTTATAAAAGGGAATAATTTAGAAATTACAAAAAAAAAGTGTAATTTAATTAAAAAAAATTTATAAATAGAGACAAAGGGAGTGATAATCATTTCCAATTTTAGAACATAATTTTAAATCATGTTTTTATTAATTCAAGTGAAATTTGTCTAGTTATATTGAAATGATGTCCAAACTAAAAAGACATGACTTAGTTCAACTATTATCAAAACATACAAAAATCACAAAGGAAATAAGCCATATAATCAACCATAAAAGAATTTAATATTAGTGTTGTATACTACCTTTTGTCTTTATTATAAAAAAAATAATTAAATCACATATATCAATATAAGTAATTACAATATGTTAGTTGATTTTATTGAATTTATAAAATAAACTCATAATGTATCAATTTTATCTATTTTACTTATTTAGGGATGAAAAAAATATCTGCACCTGCGGTATTTGTGGGTAAAATCCGCTATGAATAATAAATTGATAGGTTAATTGGGTACTCGCGGATAATGGGGACGGATAATTTTTTACTCGTTTATAAACGGGACGGGGGCGGGTATGATGATATTCATACCCGCAGATACCTGTTTAATAATATTTATTAAATATCCTAATTATCTTTGTACCACATAACCTTAAAACTACACTCTCTCATTTTATTTTCTTACAAAAGCGAGGTTGATGAAGTTACCAACATGTGTTAAGCATGTTATAAAATTATGTTGGATCAAATTTGATTAATTTTCTAGCTTTGATTGGAACAATAAGATTTATGTATTTTAAGTTGCTTACTTTTGTTTGGAATTATGAGATTGAATTATTGTAACTTTATGATATGAGACTTTCACTTACTTGTGAGATGATGTATTTTGAGTTATTGATTATCTTGCATTTTTATTATTATTTCAAAAAAATTAGCATTAACTACAAATTCAAAATTAACATTGAATTTTTATTTTTAATATTTCAATGACATTAAATATAAACTTAAAATTATTTGTAATATAATTTTTTTAATTTCTTAAAAAATTTATAAATATCCATGAATATATGTGGGTATTCAAGAAATTCATGGATACCCATGGGATGGGTATTAGGCTAATTTTCATCCAGCAGGGCGGGGACGAATTTACTATTAGCCGTCCCACGGAACCCATTGTCATCCCTATACTTATCATTAAATATTCAAGAAAGATGAAATACATATCAAAGTTTATGCATCAAGAAATGATAATTGGAGAGTTTAAGAGATAAGAGGTGAGCATTTATTTCTCATTTTTTTTTCATTATCCAACAAAAGTACATATTCTTACAATCTTTAATAATGAAAAAGATGAAAAATAAAATTAATATTTTATCAAAATTATAAAGTATCTTATAAAAATGAGCATTTTTTTTTTCTGAA